GCAGCCGCGGCTTCCAGTGATGTCCTCTGCTGGGCGCTGACCTGCTGGGCTCACCTTGCAGGTACATCCCTGAGGGCATGCAGTGTTCGTGCGGGATTGACTATTACACCCTGAAGCCGGAGGTCAACAACGAATCTTTCGTCATCTACATGTTTGTGGTTCACTTCATGATCCCGCTGTCGGTCATTTTCTTCTGCTACGGAAACCTGGTTTGCACCGTCAAGGAGGTGGGTACCTGCCAGGGGCAGTGGGACGGGAGCCACCCCCATCCCCAGCGCTGGGAAGGGGCCCATGCCAGGCTCCAAACTGGTGACAGGAAGGGCCCGGAGGGGACCAGGCTGGACTTCCATGACTGGGGAAGTGGCAAACTCCAGATGTGCAGCTCAGCTTCCCCAAGGCCTGACCCCAGATCCATCCCCAGATCCATCACGTCCCCATTCCCTGTGCCCGCAGGCTGCCGCCCAGCAGCAAGAGTCTGCCACCACCCAGAAGGCGGAGAAAGAGGTGACCCGCATGGTCATCATCATGGTCATTGCCTTCCTGATCTGCTGGGTCCCCTATGCCAGCGTCGCTTTCTACATCTTCACCAACCAAGGGTCAGACTTCGGGCCCATCTTCATGACCATCCCGGCTTTCTTTGCCAAGAGCTCAGCTATCTACAACCCTGTGATTTACATCGTAATGAACAAACAGGTAACCGGCCGGATGCCAGGAGATCTCTGGTTTTGTGCTGCGCTTTGTAACACCTTGCAGAGAGTTACAGCACCTCCAGGTACCAGTGGGCGGGGAGGGGAGTTTGTTTCTAGGGGATCGTGTTCTGTCATGCAGGAGGGCGACTGTGCAGCTCGTCCTTGGTGTTGCATAAACATCATAAATGCAAGCCTGTCCTGCCTGCAATGACCCAGGTGCTGGGTCAATGGAGGAGCTGGGGCTGCGTCTGTGCCGGCCCTGAGCGGCAGGGCGGGCAGTGGGCAGGGGCAGAGGAGGCAGGGCGGGCAGGTTGGGCAGCGAGCAGCGAGGAGGGGGACTCC